GGAGCCCCAAATTTGGGAAGGGGGGGGAAGAGGGATTGGGGGGGTCCAGACACGGCCAAGGACCCCCGGATTGGGAAGGGAGGGGGAAGAGGGATTGGGGGGGGGTGTCCTGGGGCTCCCCCTGCTCCCACAGATCCCATCGCTTGTGGATTCCATAGGGAGGAAAAGCCAGATTTGGGATGGGAAGGACGGGAATTTCTTCCCCCCGTCCCCGTCCCCAAAGCCCCTCTTTGCCCCCCCCCCCCCCCCGCCCCCCACTTTTGGGGGTTCCGGGTGGAATAAAGGGGGGGACACCGGGAGGATCCCAAATTTCCCCACACACACACACTGGGGGTCCAGGCTGGGGGGAGTCGGGAGGGGGGGGAGATTCCTTTGATCCCATGGGTTTTTTATTCCTGGGAAGCCCCTCGGAGCCAGGAGCCAAATCCAACCACTTTGGGGCCAAATTCCCCCAAAGTTATGGTCCAAATTTCCCCAAATCCATGGATTTGGAGCCAGGGGCCCTCCCTGTGTCCATCACCCATTTTGGGTCAAATCCAACCAAGTTTCCACAATTTTATGCTCCAAATCCCACCAAAATTTATGGATCTGGTGCCCAGATTTCCCCCTTCACACAGGGAGGGGTGTTTTTCCTTTGCTCCCGTGGTTTTTATTCCCAGGAAGCCCCTTGGAGCCGGAGCCAGGAGCTCCCCCTGTGCCCATCTCCCACTTTTGGGCCAAATGCAGCCAAATTTCCCCAAATTTCTGGTCCAAATCCCACCAAAATTTATGGATTCGGTGCCCAAAAATCCACCGGGATCTGCCCAGCTCCAGGGATCTCCTGGGGGGCTTCCCAGCTTTTTCCTGGGAATCCCAGGGCAGGACAAGGCGGGGGGGGTTTCCAGGGATCCTCTGTCCCCCTGGGAATGGGATCAGGAGGGTGGCGGGACCTCAGACCTGGAGCATCCCATGAGTTTCCCCTCTTGCTCAGGGAGGTGTTTTTCCTTTGCTCCCGTGGTTTTTATTCCCAGGAAGCCCCTTGGAGCCGGAGCCAGGAGCCCCCCCTGTGCCCATCTCCCACTTTTGGGCCAAATGCAGCCAAATTTCCACAGATTTCTGGTCCAAATCCCACTCAAATTTATGGATTTGGTGCCCAAAGGTCCCACTGGGCGCCGGGGGGGGACAGGGACGCCCGTCCTGCTGCTCCCGGGATTTTGCTCAGGGTGGCACCGGTGGCTCCTTCCCGACTTTTCCCCAGGAATGCCCGGGCAGGACAAGTCTGAGGCGGTTCCCAGGGATCCTCAGGCATCCCTGGAATGGGATCCCACCCAAATTTATGGATTTGGTGCCCAAAGGTCCCACTGGGCGCCGGGGGGGGACAGGGACGCGCATCCCAATGCTCCCGGGATTTTGCTCAGGGTGGCACCGGTGGCTCCTTCCCAACTTTTCCCCGGGAATGCCGGGGCAGGACACGGTTGGGGCGGTTCCCAGGAATCCTCAGCCCCCCCCGGGAATGGGATCCCACCCAAATTTATGGATTTGCTGCCCAAAGGTCCCACTGGGCGCCGGGGGGGGACAGGGACGCGCATCCCAATGCTCCCGGGATTTTGCTCAGGGTGGCACCGGCGGCTCCTTCCCAACTTTTCCCCGGGAATGCCGGGGCAGGACGCGGCTGGGGCGGTTCCCAGGGATCCTCAGGCATCCCTGGAATGGCATCGGGAGGGCGGGGGGAGCTGAGGCCGCTCCGCGTCCCCTTCCAGGACACGACCCGGCGGGAGGCGAGCGCGAGGAGATGGCGATGGTGGATTCCACCTCCAGCCGCGGATCCGGGGGTAAGGAATTCCGGGGGGGGGGGGGCGGGAAGAGGGGCCGGCAGGGCCTGATCCGTCCCTCTGTTCCCGCAGGAAGGGCCCGGAGCAGCTGCCGGAGGAGGCTGTCGCTGTCCCCGTCCCCGTCCCTGCGGAGCGCCCTGCGCGGACTCTACGCCCTGGCCCTGCTCCTGTCGCTCGCCGTGGCCGTGCTGGGAGCGCTGGGTGAGCCGGGAATTTGGGGTGGGAATGCTGGGATGGGAATTTGGGGGGGGGGGGGGGGGCTGAGGCATCCCGGGGTGGAGGGGAGCGGCTGGAATTCCGCTGGGAGCGCCCTGGGGGTGGAGATGCCTCAGGAATGGGGGGAGGTGGGGGTGTTACCTGCATGGGAGCATCAGGGACCGACCCGGAGCCCGGAGGTTGGATCCCGACACATTCCAGGTGATTCCCAGGTGGAGCAGAGGGACAAGGTGCTCCTCAGGGGTGGAATCTTGGGGATGCTTTGGCAAATCCCAGATCTGGAAGCACCTGGGGATGCCCATCCCAGCCTGGCTCAGCAATCCCTGGACAGTTTAAGTGCCTTCCTGGGAGGAAAGGTGTGGAGCAGGACGATATTCCCGGGCATTCCCACCTCTCCTGACTCCCCAGAAGCTCCCAGGTGTGGAGGGGAGCAGCTGGAATTCTGGTGGGAGCGCCCCGGGTGTGGCGACACTGGGATCCCTCTGGATCTCAGGAACCACCTCAGAGCCTGGAGGTTGGATCCCATCCCATCCCATCACCTCCCAAGTGCTTCCCAGACGGAGCAGAGGGCCAAGGCGTTCCTCAGGGGTGGAATCTTGGAGATGTTCAGGCAAATCCCAAACCTGGAAGTGCCTGGGGATGCCCATCCCAGCCTGGCTCAGCAATCCCTGGACACCCTCTGTGCCAGGCAGGAGGGAAGGTGTGGAGCAGGACGGTATTCCCGGGCATTCCCACCTCTCCTGACTGCCCCGTTCCCCCCGCAGCGTTCCGGAGGGTGGATTCCATCTCCAGCCGGATCAGCTCGGCCCAGACCTTCTACGAGGAGAAGCTTCTCTCCATCCAGGAGGATCTCCAGGGCTTGGGTGAGTGGCCTGGACCCGCACCCGGAGAGGCCTTTTCCGGGTGCCCATCCCGCCACGGAATGAGGGATCTCCCTTTCCCGGCTCCCGGGGCTCCCCCAGAGCCAACCCCCTGCTTTTCTCCCGGGATTTTGGGCAGGGATGAACATCGGACCCCAAGGGGTGGAAGGGGGGGTTGGAGAAGCTGCAGGAGCAGGAGGAGGGTGGGATTGGGGAGTTCCCTTCTCCAGGGTCCTGGAATCATGGAATCACGACGAGATTGGGGTGGGAAGGGGCCTTAAGGATCCGGAGGCATCCAGGGACACTTCCCAGGAGTCCAAGTGGCTCCAAACTGTCCTGGAGGGAAGGATTTGTTCCCTGGAGGGAAAGGAAGGGTTGACCATGGATCCAGAGGGTCTCCAGGCCTGGAGAGTGGGATGGGGTGGGATAACAGGTGGATCTCGGGATGGGGTGGGATAACAGGTGGATTTCCAAGCCTGGAGGGTGGGGTGGGGTGGGATAACAGATGGATCTCGGGATGGGATAACAGATGGATCTCAGGATGTGATAACAGGTGGATCTTGGGATGGGGTGGGATAACAGGTGGATCTTGGGATGAGGTGGGATAACAGGTGGATCTTGGGATGGAGTGGGATAACAGGTGGATCTCAGGATGGAGTGGGATAACAGGTGGATCTCGGGATGGAGTGGGATAACAGGTGGATCTCGGGATGGGGTGGGATAACAGGTGGATTTCCAAGCCTGGAGGGTGGGGTGGGGTGGGATAACAGATGGATCTCGGGATGGGATAACAGATGGATCTCAGGATGTGATAACGGGTGGATCTTGGGATGGGGTGGGATAACAGGTGGATCTTGGGATGGGGTGGGATAACAGGTGGATCTTGGGATGGAGTGGCATAACAGACAGATGTCCAGACCTGGAGAGTGGGATGGGGTGGGATAACAGGTGGATCTCAGGATGGGATGGGATAACAGATGGATCTTGGGATGGGAAAACAGATGGATCTACAGGCCTGGAGGGTGGGATGGGATGGGATGGGATAACAGGTGGATCTTGGGATGGGGTGGGATAACAGGTGGATCTCCAGCCTAGGAGGGTGGGATAACAGGTGGATCTCGGGATGGGATGGGATAACAGGTGGATCTCAGGATGGGATAACAGGTGGATCCCAGAATAGGATGGGATAACAGCCGGCTCTCGGGATGGGGTGGGATAAGGGGTAGATCTCAGGATGGGATAACAGGTGGCTCTCGGGATGGGGTGGGATAAGGGGTAGATCTCAGGATGGGATAACGGGTAGATCTCAGGATGGGATAACAGGCGGATCCCAGGATAGGATGGGATAACAGCCGTCTCTCGGGATGGGGTGGGATGAGGGGTAGATCTCAGGATGGGATAACAGCCGTCTCTCGGGATGGGGTGGGATAACGGGTAGATCTCAGGATGGGATAACAGTTGGATCCCGGGATGGGGTGGGATAACGGGTAGATCTCAGGATGGGATAACAGTTGGATCCCGGGATGGGGTGGGATAACGGGTAGATCTCAGGATGGGATAACAGTTGGATCCCGGGATGGGGTGGGATAACGGGTAGATCTCAGGATGGGATAACAGTTGGATCCCGGGATGGGGTGGGATAACGGGTAGATCTCAGGATGGGATAACAGTTGGATCCCGGGATGGGGTGGGATAACGGGTAGATCTCAGGATGGGATAACAGCCGGCTCTCGGGATGGGGTGGGATAACGGGTAGATCTCAGGATGGGATAACAGTTGGATCCCGGGATGGGGTGGGATAACAGACGTCTCTCGGGATGGGGTGGGATAACGGGTAGATCTCAGGATGGGATAACAGGTGGATCCCAGGATAGGATGGGATAACAGCCGTCTCTCGGGATGGGGTGGGATAAGGGGTAGATCTCAGGATGGGATAACAGGCGGATCCCAGGATAGGATGGGATAACAGCCGTCTCTCGGGATGGGGTGGGCTAAGAGCCCCTCCCTCCCCCTGCCCAGGAGAGAAGAGCTCCGGGAACGTCTCCGTGTGCCAGGACAGGGAGCAGCTGGGCCGGGAGCTCTCCCAGCTGCGGGCGGAGCTGGAGCAGCTCCAGCGGACGCTGCAGGGGCAGGAGGCGCAGCTGGAGCGAACCTCCCGGCGCCATTCCCGGCTCTCGGCGGCGGGCGCGGGGCTCGGGGCGCGGCTGGAGAGCAGCGCGGGCTCGGTGCGGGGGCTGGCGCGGGGCGCGGAGCGGCTGCTGGCCCGGGCCGGGCGGTGCCGGGACGAGGCGTCCCGGCTGGACGCGGAGGTGCGGGGGCTGTCCCGGGACGGCTCCGGGCTGGAAGTGGCGCTGGAGCGGCTGAATTCCAGCGCGGAGCGGGGCCGGGAGAGGCTGCGGGAGCTGCGGGGCGGCGCGGCCGAGGCGGGGCGGGCGCTGCGGGCTTTGGGCGAGGAGCGGCAGGAGCGGCGGCGGGAGCTGGGGGAGCTGCGGGACGGGCGGGAGCGCGCCCGGGAGCTGCTCGGGAGCGCGCAGGGCGCGGCGGGGGCGGCGGCGCGCAGGGAGGGCGGGAATTCCCGCGGGCTGCAGGAGCTGGCGATGCGCGCCGCCGAGCTGCAGGAGCGCCTGGACAGCGCCAGCGCCGAGCTGGAGGAGCAGCGGGACAACCTCGGAGACGCCCGGTAAGCGGGATTCCCGCCGGGGAGTGCGCGCGCGGGGGCACGGGACCGGGAGAGGGAGAGGGACTTGAAAAGGGAGTCGTTCGGATCTGTATTTTAAATTTTTTTATATTTATTTTTATATTATATTTATAGATTTATGTAGAATATATAATATATTTATATATTAGTAAATATATATAATATACATTTATATATTAAATTATATATATATAATATATTATATATTAATATATAATATAATATATATTAATATAAAATATAATATATACCATATATATTATATTTATATTATTTATATTTACATTTATATTTATATTATATTTATATATTTATATAGAATACATAATATAATATATTTACATATTATTAAACACATATATTATATATTTATATATTAAACTATATATTATATTAAATATTAATATATAATATATTTACATATTATTAAACACATATATTATATATTTATATATTAAATTATATATTATATTAAATATTAATATATAATATATAATATATATAATTTGATATATTTATATATAACATATATAACATAATATATATTTATATATAATGCATATAATATAATATATATAATATATATGTAATATAACATATAATATAATATACAATATAATATATGATATAATATATAATACGATATCTATAATGCATATAATACCTATAATATACAATATAGTTTTATATAATATAATATAATATAAATTTATACATTTCTATATATATATAATATATTCATATTTATGTATTCATATATAATATAATTCGTATTTATATATTTATGTATTCTATATAAGATATATATTTATATTTATTATTAACATATATATTTATATGATACAATTATATATTTATATATAATATATTTATATAATATTATTTAGAGATAATATATTCATATAATTATATAAAAAGAGATTTAACGTATATTTATGGATATTCCTTTCAAAATATATCCATCCCTTTATTTTATCCATATTTTGAATATTTTATAGAAATTTATTTTTATGTGTTCATATATATTATCTGTATTTAGATATATTATTTATCTATTTTATATATATTTATATATTATTCTTTATACATATATATTATATATACATACATATTATTATATTTATGTAATTATATAAAATATATTATACATATTGAGAGATATTCCTTTAAAATATATATTTCTTTATTTTACCTATATTTTACATATTTTATAGAAACTTATTTTTATATATTCATATATATAACATATTTATATATTATATATTTATATATAATATATATTACATATATTACATATATGATATATATATAATATATATAACAAATATATATAAAATAAAATAAAGTATATAAAATATATTTGTATACTTACATATATGATGTAAAAAATATAAAAATGTACATTTAATGTATATTTAATATATATCTATATAAAAATTTTAATATATATTTTAGCTAGATATTTAAGATATATATAATATATATATTTCATATGTAAAATATATGTTTTGTATATTTTATCTATATTTTATTTACGTACATATATTATATATATATTTAGATATATTATATATTTATATATCAGCATATTATTTATAAAATATGTATTACAAATATATATAAAATAAAATATGGATAAAATATATAAAATACATTTTTATACTTACATATATACTGTAAAAAATGTAAAAATGTACATTTAACCTATATTTAATACATATTTATATAAAATTTTTAATATATATTTTAGCTATATATTTAAGATATGTATAATATATATTTCATATATATAATATATATGTTTTGTATATTTTATCTATATTTTATTTAAGTATATATATTATATATATATATATATTTAGAGATATTTTTTATCTATAGGGCAGTGACCCCATAGGAGCTGTGGGTGTTATAGGGCAGTGTCCTCACTGTCCCATAGGAGCTGTGGGTGTTATAGGGCAGTGTCCTCACTGTCCCTGGGGGTGTTATAGGGCAGTGTCCTCACTGTCCCTGTGGGTGTTATAGGGCAGTGACCCCATAGGAGCTGTGGGTGTTATAGGGCAGTGACCCCACTGTCCCTGGGGGTGTTATAGGGCAGTGTCCCCACTGTCCCTGGGGGTGTTATAGGGCAGTGTCCCCACTGTCCCTGGGGGTGTTATAGGGCAGTGACCCCACTGTCCCTGTGGGTGTTATAGGGCAGTGACCCCACTGTCCCTGTGGGTGTTATAGGGCAGTGACCCCACTGTCCCTGTGGGTGTTATAGGGCAGTGTCCTCACTGTCCCTGTGGGTGTTATAGGGCAGTGTCCTCACTGTCCCTGTGGGTGTTATAGGGCAGTGACCCCACTGTCCCTGTGGGTGTTATAGGGCAGTGTCCTCACTGTCCCTGGGGGTGTTATAGGGCAGTGACCCCACTGTCCCTGGGGGTGTTATAGGGCAGTGTCCTCACTGTCCCTGTGGGTGTTATAGGGCAGTGTCCTCACTGTCCCTGTGGGTGTTATAGGGCAGTGTCCTCACTGTCCCATAGGAGCTGTGGGTGTTATAGGGCAGTGTCCTCACTGTCCCTGGGGGTGTTATAGGGCAGTGTCCTCACTGTCCCTGTGGGTGTTATAGGGCAGTGACCCCACTGTCCCTGTGGGTGTTATAGGGCAGTGTCCTCACTGTCCCATAGGAGCTGGGGGTGTTATAGGGCAGTGTCCCCACCATCCCATAGGAGCTGTGGGTGTTATAGGGCAGTGTCCCCCTGTCCCCATATGAGGTGTGGGTGTTATAGGGCACTGTCCCCACCGTCCCTACCCCCCCATTCCCCTGGGATCTGTGGGGTGGAGAAGCTTTCCCAGTCTCTCCATGACTCCACGTGGGCTCCAGGGCCTGCCCTGAGGGATTTGGGGCCACCCCACCACCTCCCACCCCTTCCCATTCCCCTCCGGGCATTTGTGACCCCACAACCCCCCCGTCCGTCCCCGCAGGTACCACGGGGGCCACGCCCAGAACCGCACGGCCGACGGGTTCCGGGCGCTGGAGGGGCTCCTGGAATCCCACGGGGAGGAGATCGGGACCATCTCGGCCAACCTGGCGGCCACGGGCGGGCACGTGCTGGCCATGCTGCGCTACCTGGGCTCCGTGCGGGAATCCTGCGCCCGCCGCCTGCGCGCCCACGCCCGCGACATCCTGCGGCTCAACGGGTCCCTGGCGGCGCTCCAGGGGTCCGCCGGGATCCTGCGGGAGCGCTTCGGGATCCTCGGGGCCCGCCTGGACGTCGGGGTCCGGAACCTGTCCCTGCTGCTCGAGGAGATGAGGGCGGTGGACGCGCGGCACGGGGACGCGCTGCGGGACATCACCCTGCTCCGAGGTGAGGGAAACCTGGGGAGGTGTTCCTGGGATTGGGTGGGATTGGGTGGGATTGGGTGGACACACAGCACGGGGACGCGCTGCGGGACATCACCCTGCTCCGAGGTCAGGGAAAGGGGGGATCTGGGGAGGTGTTCCTGGGATTGGGTGGGATTGGGTGGGATTGGGTGGATGTGTGGCATGGGGACGCGCTGCGGGACATCACCCTGCTCCGAGGTGAGGGATGGGGGGGAAAGGGGAGGTGTTCCTGGGATTGGGTGGGATTGGGTGGGATTGGGTGGGATTGGGTGGACACACAGCACGGGGACGTGCTCAGGAACATCACCCTGCTCCGAGGTGAGGGATGGGGGGGAAAGGGGAGGTGTTCCTGGGATTGGGTGGGATTGGGTGGATGCTTGGCACAGGGATGTGCTCAGGAACGTCACCCTGCTCCGAGGTGAGGGAAACAAGGGGGAAAGGGGAGGTGTTCCTGGGATTGGGTGGGATTTTGAGGGATTGGGTGGGATTTGGAGGACGCACTGCAGGACCCCACCCTGCTCCAAGGTGAGGGAAACGGGGGGAAGGGGGATCCAGGGAGGTGTTCCTGGGATTGGGTGGGATTGGGTGGATGTGTGGCACGGGGACGCGCTGCGGGACATCACCCTGCTCCGAGGTGAGGGAAATGGGGGGAAAGGGGAGGTGTTCCTGGGATTGGGTGGGATTGGGTGGATGTGTGGCACGGGGACGCGCTGCGGGACATCACCCTGCTCCGAGGTGAGGGATGGGGGGGAAAGGGGAGGTGTTCCTGGGATTGGGTGGGATTGGGTGGGATTGGGTGGATGTGTGGCACAGGGATGTGCTCAGGAACGTCACCCTGCTCCGAGGCGAGGGACAGGAGGGAAAAGGGAGGGATCCAGGGAGGTGTTCCTGGGATTGGGTGGGATTTAATGGGATTTGGTGGATGCACGGCACAGGGATGTGCTCAGGAACGTCACCCCGCTCCGAGGTGAGGGACAGGGGGAATCTGGGGAGGTGTACCTGGGACTGGGTGGGATTTTGAAGGATTGGGTGGGATTTGGGGGACATGCTCAGGAATGTCACCCTGCTCCAAGGTGTGGGGGGGGAAAAGGGAGGTTCCTCGGATTTGGTGGGATTTGGGGGATCCTGATCCCAAGGGAGGTGGAGGAGGGGCCAAACCAGCCGTGCTGAGGTCAAGGAAGGGCTGGGATGTGCGGGAAGGCATCTGGAGCATCCCATGGATGAGGAGATGTCCCACAATGGGGGCACAGCAGGGAGGTCCTTCCCATGTCCTTCCATGTGCTTCCATATCCTTCCATGTCCTTCCATGTCCTTCCATGTGCTTCCATGTCCTTCCATGTCCTTCCATATCCTTCCATGTCCTTCCGTATCCTTCCATGTCCTTCCATGTCCTTCCATGTGCTTCCATATCCTTCCATGTGCTTCCATGTCCTTCCTTGTCCTTCCATGTGCTTCCATATCCTTCCATGTCCTTCCATGTGCTTCCATATCCTTCCATGTGCTTCCAACATCCTTCCAACATCCTTCCATGTCCTTCCATGTCCTTCCATATCTTCCATATCCTTCCATGTCCTCCCAAAGTCCTTCCATGTCCTTCCCCCGGTGCCAGTGCCT